ACACACACACACACACACACACACACACACACACACACACACACACCAAGCTCTCTTATTCTCACCCTGAGCTGGAAGCAGGGCAGGTAATAGGGGTAAAATCGCCCTCAGAAGGCAGCCTGGAGCGAGGCAGGTCCCTGTACAGAGGCACATGGGAACTCGTGGGTCCACACATGGGGGCTCCACCTCTGTGCTCATAGTTGGTGGTGTCACCGTGTGGGCAGAAGCAGCAGGGCGCCTAGAACCCCGTCTCCCTGCGTACGTTTGGCCGGAGTGATGAGCCCCCTGTGGCATCCAGATACCCCTGCGATCTTGCTGTCCTGTGTCAGGGGGAGGGGCCAGCTGATGAGCTGTCAGGGCATCAAAGGTGCCGCAGCCAGCCCTGCACCTGTGATCAATCGAAGTGCACATGCGCGGGGCGGAAGGGCTGTGGTCAGAGTGGGGAGAGCACTGCCTGCAGGACTGCCTGCCCTGCCCAACTGCCCAGCCTGCCCACCTGCACAATGCCCACCTGTGTACACTGCCTGCCATGCCCACACTGCCCGCCATGCCCATGCGCCCAGTCAGTGACTGGGACCTGGTGAAACCACTGCCCACTTTCATCAAAGCCGACATCCAGCATTTCCAACGACACTCGAAGAGCTCCTGCACCCCCTTGCAAGGTGTCAGCACTACAGGCCGAAGCCCCTCCGGGACATCCATCTCTGCCTGCGTGCGGGCACTGCCGCCACCTGGAGGCGGCCGCCGGTACTGCCGCCATCCCGTGGCCCCGTCCCAAAGACCCTCTTGCAGGTCGGCTCTACAGGCAGAGCAGCGCGTGCCCATCACAGCTGGACCTCCAGCACGCTTTCAGGACCCCGCTGGGATGGCTACTGCGGGCATGGGGACGCGTGGCACCAGCTACTGGCTGTGCCAGCATCGGGTGTCCCATAAAGGTTTCTTTTCCTGTCTTAAGAACTGTGCGGCCACACTGTGCTCTGGAAGATTAGTGCTGTGCCTGGAACTGCCCCCCAGAGACCACTGCCCCCCAGAGAGACTGTTGTCCCTAGAGAGACTGCTGCTCCCCAGAGAGACCCACTACCCCCCAGAGAGACCTGTTGCACCCCAGCGAGGCCCGCTGCACCCTAGAGAACCTCACTGCACCCCAGAGAGGCCTGCTGAACCCGAGAGATTTGCTGCACCCCAGAGTGATCCGCTGTCCCCCAGAGAGACCTGTTGTACCCCAGTGAGGCCTGCTGCACCCTAGAGAGCCTCGCTGCACCCGACAGAGACCTGCTGCACCCCAGAGTGATCCGCTGTACCCCAGAGAGACCAGCTGAAGTGCTGCCCTTTTCCCGACATGGGTCTCTAGGGATGAGGTCAGTTAGCATGAGGCCACAGTGGGGCAGTGGGCTCTGATCTCGCTGCATGAGATAGAACCACAGGAGGTACCATGCTCAGGACACCAAGCACCGGCCGCTGACCATCCGTCAGACGCTGGAAGGGAGCATGGAGAGGTTCTCCCCTAGAATCTCTGAGGGGCAGACTCAGTCAATGTCTGGACTGGACGCGGCCTCCAGAGCCTCCACAGAGGGCTGTCCTGCAGGCCACTAGCTAGGCCCCTTGGCAGCCTGGGAAACAGACTGGGTGTGTGTGAGATGCAGTCTCACCAGAACCCACGTTAGACCAGAGAAGGGCTTCTCATGGTCAGTTGGGTGCACGTCGCCAGTTGCAGGCACGACCATTCCGTTCACACACTTGCCGCTTCATCTGGTTCATTGTGACCTGTCAACACAACACCACTTCTCCTGGGGCCACCCCTACCCCCACCCCTTCTTCCCTGATGCTGCTCAGCACTGCTCTTGGGCGGATGTGGCCCTGCTGATGGCAAACGATGGATTCTTCTGAGGTGTCCCCCGGTCCCGTGTTGCTGCTAGGAGCTATCCAGTCTGCTCCAACCCACAGTGACCCGGTGCCAACAGGACAGAACACTGCATGGTCCTGCAGTGACCGCCCTCACAATGTTCTGTTTGAGCCCATTGACAGCCGCTGCGTCAGTCCACCTCCTCAAGGGCCTTCCGCTCCCATGCTGCCCCTACTTTACCAAGCACCTCCTTCGTGTGCACAGCACATGAGGCGGAGTCTCTCCACCCCGGCCTCTCGGGAGCGTTCTGGCTGTGCTTCTAAGACTGATTTGTTAGTTTGTTCATTTGGCAATTTTTGGCACTTGCAATATTTTTCTCCAACACCATAATTAAAATGTATCAATTGCTCTTCTGTCTTTTTTATTCAATGTCCAATGTTCACATGCATGTGAGGCAACTGAACATGCCATGGCTCGAGTCAGGCTCTTCCTAGTGCTCAAAGTAACAGCCTTGATTTTCGATACCCTAATAGGTCTTGGGCAGCAGATTTACTCAGTGCAACGTGCTGTTTGATCTCTTGACTGCTGCTTTCATGAGCATTGATTGTGGCTCCAAGCAAGACGAAATCCTTGACGATGCCAATCTCTTCTCCATCGATCATGATGTTAGTCCAGTTACGAGGAATTCTGTTTTCTTTACATTGAGTTGTAATCCATACTAAAGGCTGCAACCCTTGGTCTTCCTCAGCAAGTGCTTCAAGTCCTCCTCACTTTCAGAAAGCAACATTGTGTCATCTGCCTAGCGCAGGTTACTAATTAGCCTTCCTCCAATCCTGGGGCCGCGTTCTTCTTCAGAGAACCCAGCTTCTCAGAGGACGTGCTTAGCATACAGGTGGAACAAGTATGCTGAGAGGATACGGCCCTGACTCACACCTTTCCTGATTTTAAACCGTGCGGCAGTCCGCTGTTCTGTTCACACACCTGTCTCCCGGTCCACGTACAGGTGCTGCACCAGCACAGTGAAGTACCCTGGAATTCCCCTTCTTCTAGGGCAGCGCTCCCCCGTTCGTTCTGCTCCCCACAGTCGAGTGCCTTTGCCAAATGGACGACACACAAGGAGGCTCTTTGACTTGTGTTTCTCTCGTGGGTCTGTCATCTATTGCTTGGCTGACAACTGAGCCCTGGGGGAGAGCTGGATCCCAGACCTGAAGGTGACTAAGGGCCCTAGGCAGAGAGACCCCACAGCCTGTCTCCCCAGGAAGCCTGGTCTTTGTTGGAGGAGAATCTGCACCTTAACAAGACCTCAGGAGATTCTTACGTGCACATAGGAGTCCCCCGGGACCTGGTTAGAGCGTAGATTCTGATCCCGCGCGCCTGGGTGTGAAGTGGAGAGAAGCGCTGGCAGTCCTGCTGTGTGGCAGTCAATGAAGTCAATGTTATACACGGAGTGCCATTGCTGGCAGGTCCCTGGAGTGACCCGATGTCCAACAGAACAAAACACTGCCTGGTCCTGCACCGTCCTCCCAACTGCTGTCATGCTTGAGCCCATCGATGGGGCCACTGTGTCCAGCCATCTCCTTCAGGGCCTTCCCCTTTCCCGCTGGCCCTCTGCTTTGCCAAGCATGACGTCCTTCTCCAGGGACTGCTCTCTCCTGACCACATGCCCCATATGTGAGATGAAGTCTCTTCCCACCCCTGCCTCTATGGAACACTCTCGCTGTATTTCTTCTATGACAGATTTGTTTGTGTGTTTTTTTCCCGGGGGGGTGGGGGGGTGGGTACAGTATGTGGTACTTTTAGTATTCTTCACCAACACCATAGTTCAATGATCATCTTTTCTTTGGTCTTCCTGGCCCAGCGTTGACCTGAAGGACGAGCGGGGACTGGGAGCAGCGTCAGGGACCTGGAGCAGCCTTGGCCATCTCTTTCTCAGCAGTGTGACCTGACCGGCCCCCCTGACCACTTGTCACCCACGAGACACAGGCCTGGCGCTGGAGCCGAGTACAAGGGAGTCCCACCAGCAGAAACTGTCTCTCGGGTCAGGGGCTCGAGCCCTAGTCGGGATGTGGTAGAAAGGCCTGCTCTCCCCAGAGGCTCCACGGGAGGGTCCTTCTTCATCGCCAGCTCCTGCCAACTCTCCCCCACCACTCCCACCTCTGCTTCTGGTGGCTTCTCCTGACAGGACACATGCAGACACTCTCCCTGCAGCCTCCAGCTGAGTTACCTAGTTACACCTGCAGAGGCCTAGTCTGAGACAGGCTCACGCTGCGACGCGCGTAGATCTGCCCTGGAT